TTTCTGCACCTGTTGGGAAGGAAGCCACAGACCCCAGGATCTGAAAAATGCGAAGATAATTACTGTATATAAAAATAAAGGGGACAGAGCAGACTGCAACAACTATCAAGTGATATTTGCTCAGTGTGGTCAACAAGATGCTTAAAAGGGTCCTGCTGAAAAGACTAAGTCCTTGCTGAGAGAGTCTACCGAGAGCCAGAGTGGGTTCAGATCTAGACGCTCCATGACTGACATGTCCTTCACATTGCACTTGTTGCAAGAAAAAAAGCCGTGAACAGGCATCTCTCTACATAGCATTCATTGACCTACAAAAGGCCTTCAATATGGTTAGCAGGAACGGCATCTATAGGATTCTGTTGAAAATTGGATGTCCACAGAAGATCCTCTCCCTATTCAAGGAGGTCCACGAGGGAATGAAGACAACCATACAGTATGAAAATGAAACCGAGTTTAGTATTGATACTGGTATGAAGCAAGGCTGAATCAAAGCCACCAGCTTTGGCACCTTCTCTATTCTTCTTAAGTAAGCCTTTGGAAATTATCAATCTGGCATACTAATTGAATCAAGGATGGACAGCAGCTTGTTTAACATCAGATGGTTCAAGAGCAGAAGGCATGTCACCCAGCTCATTATTCAGGATTGTTTTTCCACAGATGATGCTGTATTTGTCTCTAATTCACCTGATGAACTGCAGGCCATGATGAACATGTTCTCTGATGCATGCACCAAGTTTGGCATGGTAATCAGTATCAATAAACAGTTATGTCACAAGATACCACCTTTCCACCTAAAATTGATGTCAATGAAGCTCTGGATAACATGAATCTCTTCTGCTATCTCGGCTCAATTCTTACCAGCTCACATAACCTTGATAGAGAACTTGATACTAGAATCAAAGCTTCTGTCACTTTTGGCAAACTTACATCACGTGTTTGGAGCAACAAGTTGCTAATCCTGAACACAAAGGTGTCCGTGTATCAGGCTTGTGTCCTTTGTACCCTCCTTTAGGATTGTGAAAGCTGGGTTACATACTCCAAGCAGGAGCAAAGATTGAACCGTTTCCACCTCCGCTGTCTTAGAAAAATCCTTGGCATTACTTAGGACCAATGGATCACCAATGACGAGATCCTTGAGAGAATCAGCCTACAGTCTACGCAGACTATGCTGGATGTTCACAGGCTTTGCTGGTTGGGACACATGGAACGCAGGCCGAAGGCTGTGCTCTTAAGAACTGCCTGCAACGCATAGGAAGGCCAAAGTGCCAATACAGCAACAAGGTCAAGCAAGGTCTCAAGAAATTCAGCATTCCCACTGGGAAAATCCTGCTCACAATCACTCAGTTTGAAGTCAGATTAAGGCTAGTGCAATCACTGTGGAGCGGCATCACAGAGCCCAGGCTGAGGCCTGCAGGCAAGCCAGGAAGCAGAGTGTGCTTCAACCTCCATCTGGCAAGTGGACCTGTAGCGACTGGAAGATTTGCTGCTTGCACATTGGGCTCTTTTCCCATACCAAACACCACTTGTGGTCTTTGTTGCGTCTTCTTTAATCTGTCAAGATGTTGGCTGGCGCACTGGGAGCTAGTGTTCAGCTGATTAACCACCAAGACCCCCAAAATCTTTCAGATCGCAGCTTCCCAGGATAGCATCCCCCATCCTGTGAGGCCTACATTATTGGTTCCTAGATGAAAGCATTTATATTTAGTGATGTTAAAATACATTGTTTGCACTCAATTTACCAAGCAATCCAGGTCACTCTGAATCAGTGACCTGCCCTCTTCATTATTTACCACATCCCCCAATTTTTGGGTCATCTGCGAACTTTATCAGTGATTTTATGTTTTCTTCCAGGTGATGGATGAAAATATTAAAGTGTCGGTCAATGCCTCTGGGACCCCACTGGAAATAGATCCATGATGGAAGACCTCAACATGTCTTTACACATATAACTGGACATATGAATTTGCATACCTTGGGGAGACTGGCATATAAAGAGAAAGGATTTGGAAACGTATGGTATATTTCTTGACATGTATGATCAGTGATCCATTGTTGTACACTGTAACCCTCTTATTTCAACTTTATATATGCTATTCATTGAACACTTAGTTTGTCTTCTCTTATTGCCAGTTCTTTCTTCAGGGAACCAGCACCCCCCATTTTTACCTACACAAGCAAAAAATAATTTTTTATCTACCCCCCCCCATGCCCAAATATTGCCTTGATGAAAACTTCCAGAAGTCTTGTGACCCTGCAAGATTCCACTTAGCATTTTAAAAGTGCATTTAGTTAAAATTCAGCAGGAAGACAAAAGCACAGATGTATTTTAAAGTGTTCAACAGTGACCAATAGGTATATACCTACCTAAAAGTGACAAGACAAACTATTATAAATAGCACACTTAGCAGATGATCCAGACACATTGAATTTTCCCAATGGATTTAGTGAGATAGGGTCAGTTTCTGCAGATTTGTTTTCTTCAGAAAAGATTCCTTGACAAGAAGTCTCTAGACCAAATTAGAAAATGTCAGGAAAAAAAAACATGCTATCAAAACAATAGTGCATCCACCATATAAGCCACCTAGTTTTATGACAGCTCTCTTCAGACAAGGCTGTGTGTGTATGGAGGGCAAGCCAGGAGACAAGCCAGATAAAACTGAAGGAAGTTTAAGTGATGTGGGATCCATTTCTTTAAATAGCTTCTCTGACCTCAGTTTCTTGTTTCAGCATTTCTGACAAATAATGAGGTGGGAGAAGAGCAGCTCAGGTTTCTGTGGAATGAACAGAGGTAAGTTTGGGTCTGCAGTGAGGGACAATAGAAAGGCATAAATCATAGTGAACTATCCTTCCCAGTGGCTCTACTTCACTCAACAGCATCATGGAGCCCACACTTGATTTTCTTGTACTCAGAAGTAGAGAGCTGCTCAGAAAACAATTGTCCATTTTCCCATTAATAACAGCAGCACTTTTCAATAAGTTTTTTATAATGTTGGTGTTTTTTAATCATTTCAAGTCGTGTTATGGACAAAAATGCATAGGAACATGGTAAAAAACACAGGTTCCAAGCAGGTGGAGACCGGAGTGCCTCATATCAGGGATTAAAACATGATCAACCTTATTAAACCAACCAACCAAGTTTATTTATAGAAGTCTGTACATTTGTAATGAACTCAGCTAGGACACCAATGAAACAAAAACAAATAAACCCATCCCTTCCCAATGAGCGGGAGGTGTCACTCACCTTTACATGCACTTAAAAAAGCAAAAATAAGATTACATCTTCATACACAATTAGTTCTGTAACTATTCAAGAAATGGAGTCCCTTGATGCATTATTCTCAACGCAGAGTGGTTTGCATACAGTAACTCCTTGGCTATTGCCTCTGTTCGACAGTATTTCCGCAGAAACCATTGAGACTTCCAGAAGGTGGCAAGTGGTAGCTGATAACTGGGGATGCTCAGGACATAACCACTTTACAAGTTCTGCACACTAAATTCACTGTGTGAACCTGTCTTTTTAATTTGATAAACTCCATTAATTAATGTGGGAAAACAAAGCAGATGTACTATTTACAACACTATCAAGGTCTCATCACTGTGTTTATTATAAAGCCTGTTTCTTAGTTTGTAACTCGGTTGTAGACGTTTACTCTGGGATGAAAAGCATGTAAAAAGAATTTAGGAGTAAAAAGTGTCTCTGTAGTCATTGTAACCCACAACAGTTTTTAGTAATTTTTGTAGGCAATTCAAGTTTTGCCTTGCACAATTTTGCAGTTATTCTTTAGTAAATCTTCAGAAATTTTGATAGTTGGGAAACTGTCTACTGCAAATAAAGTTTTTTTATTACATATCTGTAACATCATTGTAGTTGCTGCGAAACCAAAATGATACCAAATGCATATCTATCCAGTGGATCATGATGTCTCCTATGAAGCGATAATGGCAGATTCCATAAATCCACTTTTTAAAAAAATGTCAAAAGGACATATGTAAATGAGAGCCCACAACAGCTCCAGAGAAGTTGCTACAGACAGACAATCAAGGGAAAAGTCTATGATTACATATTTACACAACAGTCCATAAAGGAGTTCCAAAGCTATGGACTATCTAGTAAATAAGCTATTAAAAAGTCCACAATTTGTTTACACAGCAAATATGAGCTGCTTCAGAGGTGGAATTTTTTTATACACAGTTCATAATATCAATTTTCACAAAATTACATGACATTTCTTTAAAACTACTGTTAAAAAATTAACAAAAGGAAATTAAAATAAGAGCTAGATTAAAGTTTCATTAAGGATCCAACAAGCAAGTCACCAAGAGTCAGACTCAGGTTTAGATATCACCACTATTTGGGCTCTTAGAAAAATCATGCTACAACACTCCACGAGGAGGTGTCAGGATCTTCCGTTCCTTCAAGCCTCAATTTAGAAGAGCATCCTTATTTGTTCAGCACTTAAGCTCATGCTTTGGTACTTAACTCAATCAGGGCCTCTGAATTGTCAGACCTCTAATGCTTTTTTAATTTAGTTCTTAGTTCAGTATATTCAGTTGTATTTGTTTTGAAAAGCTCTTTGTTAAATGCCACTTATATTTACACTTGGATTTTTACACCTGAGTGATTATCAAGCAGTCATCTTGTTTCTAGTCAAACATTCCATAAAGCCATACAATCCTTGTGCTAGTGTTTTACTGCACCTGTACCAGTTATATATAGAAAATATGTATCAGCAACTGCCCTCATACATTTTCAGTACAGTTTCTACCTTGTCCTTCCCCTTCCACACAATATGAACTGATATTTTTTTAAAGCCAAGTTTAGAATTGCTCACAAAGCAAAAAAACCAAAAACCACGAACAGGTTGAAGCCCAGTAAAGACAAGGTGACATGAGAAAGATGGGACGTTGAATGATTAGTTGGATTTGTAGAAGAAATATAGGAGCCTACCTAATGAGTGCCCAGGGGCATCCCAGAAGGATCTACTTCATTCAGTTACACTCAGGCTACACTACAAATCTACAGAGGACGAGTCTCAGACAAGAGCTGTTTGTGGGACTCTCAACAAGTATGTGTGAGTAAAAAGGGGAACGTGAAGGTACACAGCTATATAAGCCAGGCCTGTTTATTAAGAATCACATTTAATGAGTTTCTTTCTTTCAATTTCAGATGCTCAAATACAGCTGGTAGAATTCAAAACAGCCGTAAAGAAATGTGACAGACTGATACAAATAGTACTGCAGCATAAAAAAATGATAAAAAACACCTGAAAAAAAGTCACGTAACACCCTCCCCCCCAAAAATTTACACTTTGAACCTAAGCCAGTTTTTGAAGTTTCCCTTCTCCAGAGCTAGGAGGAGGAAGAAGAGGAGGAAGAAAGTGCAGATGACCTTCAAGCCACAAAGGTCCTGTGCCAATGTTTACTCGCCATGCCTGTGGTGGTACGTAAGGAGAAATCACCAAGTGCCGATGCTGCCACCACCAAAGAGATTCCTACAGAAATCCCAACTTGAGGCTAATACTGAACACTTAGAGTAGACCAACGAGCTGCATCAATTAAAAAAAAAAAATCAAACTAAAAGAAGTGGGAGAACCCCAAATAGCACAGATCCACATTTGTGAAAGGGCAAGAAGGGAGGTCTATACAGTAAATAGTCAAATGGTTTATGTTACAGATGACTGGCAGTTTTAAAGAGTCTCTTCCCAGCTCCATTGCTGCTCCAACCCAGAAGGGAAACTGAAAAGGGAGGAAGAAGAGAAGTTGGGACATCATCATGGAGCATGCAGGATTGGAAGCAGCGGAGTGGGTATGCTCAAATAAGCCCCCGCCTTTTCTTATAGTCTTCCAGGTTCAATGATCGCCGAGGGGCACCATCTTTTGCTGGTGGAGCTTTGGAGGTGATGGCAAGCGTCTTAGACTCTGTGGGGAAATAACAGAAAGTCAGTGCTAGAAGTCATGGAAGTGGAAGTTCTTTTGCTTGGTGGTAACGGTAGGAAAGAAGAGATTTCAGCCTTCCCTGCCACAAAATAAACCAAGCTTCTTTGTGAGAACTTCACCTTGGAAATATGTTTAGCTTCTCTGCTAAACATAAATTAATAGTACATTGAACTAAGGGCATTTCCAATTATGTGACAAACATGTTCAATTTTGACTTTGCACCTCTTAAACCTGCTCTCTGCCACCAACGCTTCCATCTCCGGAAGAAACTACTCTGAAGTTACTAATGTTGCTGCCTCACATGCTGCATTGCAGTGTTCTGACAATGAAGGACATTTGTTACATGAGCATAGCAGAGACACAGGACACACCTCACAGGGGGGTGAAACCAGTCAAGTTTTCTATGCAACATTTCTTTACTTCCATAATAAAAAGCTTTGTCCAAGCCAGGTTTTTTCACATTGAGTAGTGCAGCCTCCCTGACTCCATCTCATTCTCCTTCAATCCATCCAACACACTAATGTCAAGATGCAACTTCACAAAGAATCTATCTGCTCTGAGCACATACAGTCACTCTCAGATCCCGATACTGGTTCTTTCTCAGCAGTAAAAGCCACATTTTGCAAAATCCCAACTCGCCACCCATTCTTACATTAGATTTAAGCTCCCTGCCATGGCATACACTGCGCTGTCCACCTTTTGGCTCTTCTCTTTGGATTTGCCTCCCTTGCTCACTTCATTCCTCCAAAGCCCTTCGCTCCCACTACCCGCTTGTGTGTCCTTCAACTCTTGTCTTTCTGACTTCTTCCACACTGACCCTTATGCCTAAAAGGCCCTTCTTGGCCTGTTCTGCTACAACTTAATGTTCTCCTTCATTTCCCTCCTGAAACTACTACTTGGGAACATAGGAACTTCCATATTGGATCATCCCCATGGTCCTCTTCAGAGAGGCCTGCTAGCTCTAGTCCTCCCAGCAACTTGATGCAAGTTAATTATCATTCACACTATGTTACACCCCCACCTACTCCCTACATTTATAAAGTTGTCTGTTTAGATTGCAAGCTCTTTGGGACAGGGGCCTTGTCTTCCTATGTGTCTCAAGCCCATTGCTGGCACTGCATAAACAAACACCACCATCAAAAAGACTATGTAGAGAGGTACCCACAAGTTCACTGCTACAATTAACATCTTATCTCCTTACCTCATTAGGCTACTGTCCTGGTGCCCCAAGAGTTTTACTAGCAACATGCATCTCAAAGCAAAGTCACAGATGTTCCTGTGGTACAGCACCTTCTCTTAAAGGTATTTGCCAGAACTACAGTACAAAGCCCGTAAGTTCCATTCCCAAGTCCGCTGCTGATCCAGACAGCAGTTGATTCCCAAATAAAACTGGCAGCCCTGGTCCATATACTTCTGTAATCTAGCAAAACTGGAAAATCACCTCCCTGCACATACATAAGACACACCCACCTGAGCTGGGAACCTGGAGATCAATCTTCACATCAAAGTCATGCACTTTGAACAGGTCCTCTGAGAGGTCACTAGCTGATTTCGAATTCACGTCTTTGTCCTTCCCCTGACCCTGAAATTTAAACAAAGTTTCAGCAGTAGCAGCAGCACAAATCTGACAAAGTAGAGTCGAAGCCAGAGATGAGAAAGTTTTATTAGCCAACAACTTGTTCAGTCTGGTCCTTCTGTTGTAACAGAGGCTACACATTTATCCTAATTATGAGCTTAATTGTAAAAAGTGAGTGAAAATTCACAAAATGTCACAATAACCTAGAACAACAAACAGATAAAAAGAGGTCCAAAATGGAGACGAAGACTGAATTAGTCCAACCTAAAAGGCCTGCTGATATAACTCAAGGCCAGTGTTGAGATCATGCCAGGTAAACAAGAGAAGTATGGAACTGGAAATCAATTAACCAAAATGGGTATGTAGAAAATTAGGCCTAATCGGTGAACAAAATAATGAGGGGATGGGGTATTGCCCCACCACTCCCTTTTGGGGGTCTTTAAAAGACTTTGGGGGAAAACAATTGAAGGACAAATATGGACGCTGGCTAAAAGACTGGTGAACAGGAAAAAGCGAGCTTCACCATCGGGGCTGCCATTCTCACCATCTCTCAGACCTTGCGATCCACCGTGAAACCATTAGGCCTCCATCATCCTAATCCTGAAAATATGTCCTAACCAGACTGGGGGCCGGAGGTGGGGGGGGGGGAGGGGGGTGCAAAAGGGACCCAAATGACATTGCCATCTCCACCTGAATCCTGACCACCACTTGGGTACAAGACCGTCTTCCCTGTCCCCTTGTGTGTCCTTTCCCTCCCCAACTTCATTTTCTTCTCTTTTCTATCCCTCTCCTTTTTCCTTCTGTCTAATAAAAGCCTGGATTAGCTGGCTAAGACTGTGTATTTCACAACACTGCTGTAACCAAAAGGTAAATAAAAGCAGCTCAACTAACGTCTTTTCTTTCCTCCAAAAGGACAGCTATTACCACCTTTAATGTCATGTAATACCCTGCTAATTAGAGGGTGTGGAGAGGTTTCTTTTTGAAAATGCTCTCCAGCAAAAGGGTACAAGGAAAATAAGGTTTCCATGTTAACTTAATAGTTTACATTTCAAATGCTTTCTTTTTCCCTCCCCCGTTCTGTATTTTTAATAAAAGGTTAAAAGACATTTAATGGTGTTTGCACCATGGTACTAAGCAGCCTGAGGTCTCTGTACCCCAAACCTTGTGTAACACTGTTTAATACTGGACAGTAACAGGGTCACGTTAACACCTTTAATTCTTTGGACCTATACATTCCATCTCAAATAATACAACACTTCTCTATAGCCATGACTCCAAGGCCCTATGATAATACAAATAAATAGTAATGGTACCTTAAAATTAAACTGCAGGATTCTAAATAAAAAGGTGGAGGAACACAGCAGAGGAGGGATGCAGTACTTGCCTTGCCCATGTCCTTTGGAGCGTCCGGTAAAGCACCAGATCCATATTTTGCATTTAGTTGGGCGAGGATGGCAGCTTGGACAGCAGGATCCCTGGACTATGAGCAAGAGAGACAGTGAGCAACTGTATTTCTTTGGTGATACCCATGTGAGATCAGCCCTGACATTAAAACTCAAAACACTCAGATTCAGAGAGCTTAAGGCCCAAATGGGCCATTAGATCATTTAGTCTGACTTTCTCTATATCACACAGTTACCCCTGTATTGAGCCCAATAACTTGTGTTTGGTGAAAGCACAAAACTTCCAGGAAAGCATCCAGTCTTGATTTGAAGACATCAGGAGGGGGAGAATCCACCACTTCTCTTGGTGATTTGTTCCAATGATTAATGACCCTTACTGCTAAAAAAACCAAAAACCCTGTGCCTAATTTCCAACTTGAATTTTTCTGGCTTCAGCTTCCAGCTATTGGATCTTGTTATGCCTTTCTTCTCTACGTTAAAGAGCCCTTCAGTATGGGGTATTTTCTCCCCATAAAAGGTACTTGTACACTGTAATCAAGTCACCTCAATCTTTTTTGATAAGCTTAAGTCTCTTACTGTAAAGTATCTTCTCCAGTCCTCCAGTAATTTGTGTGACTCTTCTCTGCACCCTCGCCAACTTTTCAACATCCTTTTTAAATTGTGGACTCCTAAACTGTATGCAGTATTCCAATGTGCTACAGAGGTAAAAACCCCTCCCTACACCTACTCCCATTTATACAAGGATCACATAGCCCTTTTTTGCCACAGCAGTGCACCATGAAGTCATGTTGAGCTGCTTGTTCACTATGACCCCTAAATCCTTTTCAGAGTCACTGCTTTCCAGTCCACAGTCCCTCTCTTCCCCCTCGGATGTTTTAGGAAACTACGCACTCAACTGAATATTTTAAGCGTTAAAACATATATTATGTTCCACAGTGAGACTTTGCAGCTATACCAGCACAGAGCAGGTTGTTGTCCCAAAGCTGTCCTATATTTCTAGTGAGTTCCAGAGCACCATCATCTCCCCGCTCCTCCATGTCCATGCCTGGATCACTACATATCCAATACACTTCACCAAGAATAATGGGCTATAACACCTTTTCCTTGCGGTGGGTGTACCGATCCTGGCCTGAGTATGTATCACCATTGTATCTGGACAACTGTTCCCAATAGTCCTTCCTGACTGTGCCACTACAGTATATTTATTCTTTTCCTTTCTATTCCACACACGGACAGTCTGCACTGCTCCCTACCATCCTCCATTTGCCTTGGACTGACTTCAGTGTTATACTTACATTGGAAACTATTGTGGGCTTGCACTGCCGCCTAGTAAAAGGGTCCATTTGCTGGTTTTTCATATTGTGACTTTCAGCCTGCAGAAGAAGCAATGAACAGTCTTACATAGCTCACTACTTTCACCTGTCTTGCCTTTGTCAACCCCCCCACAGACACCCATAGCCATCTGCAGCATCAAGGTTAGAAGGACAGCAAGCAGCACCAATAACCCCTACTAGATCATATCCACAAATTTTACACTCCAATCACTCTACTCCCTGAAAGACAAAGTGGAGAGACTACTTGCATACCTCTCACTGATGTTGTGAGGCTTAATTTGTGTTTGTTAAAATACTTTAAAGTTCCTTGAATAAAAAGCACTACAGGGCAGAGCAGTATTTCCCTCCATTACTATACCCCCCTTAAGTCTGGATTTCTGACTCATGCAATGCCCAGTATGCCAATATTACAACCACCATGGAAACCAGCTGAGAATGGGGCTGGTCATGGGAGGGGCAAGTAATTTCTTTATAATACCATTTTCTGAGTTTTGTTTTGTTTTTAAAGAACATCTTGTAGGATAAAATAAAATGTGGTAAACCTCACCATGTAATTAGCTACCTCCCACTCCCCTACAAATTCCTTTTTTTCTGGTAGCCCAAGTATTGCTTCAACATTCCTTACCACTAGAGCCTTCTCGGACTCCACAATGTTCCATTCTCTATTCCTCTGGTTGATGTAACTGCAAAAAAGAAGGGGGGCAGAGAGGAGGGGAGAGGAGACAGAGTACAACAGTGTTATTTAATGCACGCTACCCAAAAGCAGGAAATCATAGAAACCCAGGACTGGAAGGGACCTTAATAGGACATCTAGTCAAGTCCCCTCCACTGAGGCAGGGCTACGTATTATCTAGAATGGCGGTTCTCAACCAGGGGCCCGAGGCCCCCTGGGGTGCCGCAAGCAGATTTCAGGGGGTCCGCCAAGCATAGCTGGCATCAGACTTGCTACAGCCCAGGGCAGAAACCCAAAGCCCCGCCGCATGGGACTGCAACCGGGGCCCCCAAACCCCACCACCAGGGGCTGAATCTGAAGCCTGAGCAACTTAGCTTTGTGGTGCCCCCTGCGGTGTGGGGCCCCAGGCAATTGCCCTGCTTGCTACCCCCTAGTGGCGGCCCTGGCTTTTATATGCAGAAAACCGTCATCGTGGTACAGGTGGGCCATGGAGTTTTTATAGCATGTTGCGGGGGGCCTCAGAAAGAAAGGTTGAGAACCCCTGATCTAGAAGATCATCCCTGAGAGGTATGTGTCTAACCTGTTCTTAAAAAACCTCCAAAGGAGATTCCACAGCCTCAGTAGATAATTTGTTCCAGTGCTTAACTACCCTTGCAGTTAGACATTAGGAAAAATTTCCTAACCTAAAGCTCACTTGCTGCAATTTAAGCCCATTGCTTCTTGTCCTGTCTTCGGTAGATATGGAGAACAATCCCCTCCTCTTCATAACAACCTTTTATGTACCTGAAGACTGTTTTGTCCCCCCTCAATCTTCTCTTCTCCAGATTAAACAAATCCAGTGTTTTCAATCTTTTCTCGTAGGTCATGTTTACTAGACATTTCATCATTTTTGTTACTCTCCTCTGTATTTTCTCCAATTTGTCCACATCTTTCCTAAAGTGTGGTGCCCAGAACTGGACAAAATATTCCAGTTGAGGCCTTACCAGGGCTAAGTAATCCTTTATGTCCCTGGCTAGTTTAATCTCATTTTGTGCCTTGGCCTTTCTAATTTTTTCCTTTATGCTCATTTTTTAATAGTCATTTTATTTAAATGATTGCTCTCACTGGCAATCATTTTCTGGCACACAACCCTTTATCTGAGATGGTTGGGAAGAAAGATTTCATTTTTGACAACAGGAAACTGATTCTGGTGCATATGATCAGATGGAGAGAAACAGCAAGTGAATAAGTAGCATAATTAGCAATCAAGGTATTCAGGTCATAAGTACATGTACAGGAAAGAAGTGCCAGAACTTGCAAATAGCACTAAATGTTTTTTTATTGGTTTCTCTCTTCTGTTGCCTTTTTATTAATGTGCTTTGAAGGGACAATGCCAACTTCAGGTACCTACCTGATTGCAGAAATGTTTTTTGTCCGCTGGCGGTCCAGGGCCTCTGCTCTTTCTTCCAGTTCATTAAGCTGATCTTGAATCTGTTTTGCCTTGTCCTGGTCCCCCAAGTCCTCTGCCATAGCCTTCAACCAACCAGTAATTTGTTAGGCATAATTCTCCACCACAGGGCCAGTCATAGATATTAGGGCTAGACCTAGAGTCATCTAGCCTGTTTTACTTCAGTGGCGTTCTTACTTCTACCACTAGAATAAGAGGATCTCATTTTTCGTTCCTATACAGAAGGCTGCTATAGTTTGATTAAAACTCATCTTTCCCCTGCCTGGTACAGGAAAAGACTGATTATTATTGCAATTATGAATTTTAGTTTAGTTAATGCAATGGGAGTTTAAATCAGCCTCCTCATTCAATGAGATATACCAGGGGTAGGCAACCTATGGCATGGGTGCCAAAGGCGGCACGCGAGCTGATTTTCAGTGGCACTCTTACTGCCCAGGTCCTGGCCACCGGTCCGGGGGGGGCTCTGCATTTTAATTTAATTTTAAATGAAGCTTCTTAAACATTTAAAAAAAATCTTATTTACTTTACATACAGCAATAGTTTAGTTATATATTATAGACTTATAGAAAGAGACCTTCTAAAAACGTTAAAATGTATTACTGGCATGCGAAACCTTAAATTAGAGTGAATAAATTAAGACTCGGCACAGCACTTCTGAAAGGTTGCCGACCCCTGAGATATACAATACAACCTTTGTCTAGTGTGCCACCTGGTGGCAGTGATTAGACATCCTTTCAGAAAGTCAAAACTCAAAAGCTTCTCTCTCACCAACAGAAGTTGGTCCTATAAAAGATATTACCTCACCCACCTTGTCTCGCTAAAACTGCACACACACTATCACACAACCCACAACTCTGCATCAGTGAATTTCAGTAAATGATGGTTTATCTATAAAGTTAAATCAGTCCAAAGTGTGCAAGAGCAAAGTTAACAGGATGCTAAATCCCTTGTTTTCTTGGGTTTGTATTTTCTAGTATCAAACTTAATGAGAAAACCAAGTGTAGATTTTTCCTTGGTGTGAGAAGCTACAGCAATTTTTATTCTTAAAAGGTATTTTAAACTGTTTGACTTTTAGGCCTGTGCTATGCACATGACCAAGTAAGCCACTCAAGGCTCTGAATATTCAATTCTCTTCACATGAGACGGTGACATGGAAAGAAACCATAACAGCCAGTAAATGGTTCAGCCATCTATTCCTTTCAATAGGAATTTGAACAGCAGGCTGTAAAAAACCAATATAGGCAAGCAATTTTCAAATTCTCCGAAGAGTATATAGTAGCAACAACGAGGAAAGAAAGTGAGCTTCTACGGCCACCAACTAGGAGCATCTCACCCTGAGGACAAGAAAGGACAGCTGAGACAGCTGCTGGCTGTTGTGCCTCATCAGCAGGTGGCAAGTGCCCTCCAATGGTGAAGGAATTTAATGATTCCGACTGGGCTCCAGATGTTCTGGAACCCAGCAGTTCTCTGCGTTCTATTTGCTGTAGAATTTAAGTCAAGTTGCTGCAGAGTATGTGGTGCTTTGGTTATAATTAGCATCCAAATAAACTTGGATTCTTCAATCAAGAGAGCTTTGCACTAAGTAGGCGAATATCACCTCTTACCTTCTCCTTTAATAGCTGAGTTTTCTTCATGGCATAGTTGGGAGGGGCTTTTCGGAACCTCTCTTTCTCTTTCACAATCTTTCACATGAAGCAGAACAGAAGAGAGAAGTTATAACAATATATTCATTTTATAATACCTGGAGGAGCTACAAGTGACAGGCCAACCGGTCCCATTAAACATAAGACAATATTTACTTCTACAGAACTTTTTTTTTCAGCTGTATCTGACATCTGCATTCATTACTCTACCAAAACACAACTAACAAGTTACAACCTTTTACTGTATATACGGCCTATAAACAGACTAATGACACCAAATTACACTTAGTAAATACTGAGCTAGTAAAGAGCTGAAGAATTGATAATAGCCAACTTTAACGTGATGCCAATAACCACTTAGGACTCTGTACTATTTTACTCTGCTCAGAGGAGTAACAAAGCGAAGGAACTCTTTGCAAGGCTGCAGCACAAGCCTGAGATTGGGCACAGAACACAGAGAGGATATAATAAAATAGGAGTGGGCATTAAAAATCAGACCTGATTAGACCCTAAACTATTCTTTCCATCTCTTTCATTTATTCCACTTAATTTTGTTACTTGTACCTTTCCCACTCAGCCCCACCACAGTGAAACCAAGCACGTCTGACTTCACAAGCGCCAGGGCTCTGCTCTTATGAATTCCTGCTCCTTTTGAGCACTGCCCTAGTGTCACTCTAGGAGACCTTACTTACAGGGCCACATCTCAAAGTACAGTCAATTCATTTACCTCCTCAATGTCTTGGTCATTAAATTTGTAGTTGAGGGCTTCTTTGATGGACACTTCCTTCTTGTTTATCTCATCTAGTGTAGGCAACTGCATCCCAGCAGAGAACATCTAGATACAAAAACAGAAGGAGTCAAGATCATTCTCCGCTCATCAGAATATCTCTGGCAGAGAGCTGCTGTGAAGAGGAAAAATTCAGGCAAACTCACCGCTTCCTTCCACTTCATGAACTCACTTTCAGTAAATTCCTGATTTGAGACAAACTCCAGACGAAACACACGCTGGTCACTGCCATGCCTGCAACAAGGAAAAAAAGTTACCAGGAAAACTCATATGCCAACCAATACAGCAATTTGCCCATCTGCTGGATACAGGGCAATGACTTGGGTCTACAAAGAAAGACAAAGGTTCAATGCACTCTAGCCAGTTGAGTGACAATTTAGGTTACTCTCATTTTGTTCACTGCGTGTCTACCTCCATCCCAAAATTCCTGCACGCACACTGGTGGGTCAGTGCATGTGAAAGACTGTATTGGGGGGAGGGAGGGAGTGTACTGCCCGATAGCCCAGGGATAATCAAGGAGGCCTGGAGGCTGGGGTATTTAAACACAGGAGCAAGCAGCTGAGGGGAGGAGAAGCCAGGTAGGCTGCAGTGGGTGGTGGTTTCTCTCAGGCACCAGGAGAAAAGCCTAACCTAGTCTCAGACTTGGGTTTGTGGACTTGTTTGGAAGCTCTGAAGCAGGGCCCTGGTGAACTGTTTGTTGTAATGATTCCTGTCCTGTAACCTTATTAAGAGGGGAGGTGGCATTTGGTCAATGTGTGTTGGTTTCTCCCTGCCCTGAGCTGTTTAAGTGACTCTACCTTGGGAAATTAATGAGACAGACTGACAATATCCTGTGATGTTGTGAACAAGCCTAACAGAATTAAGATAAACTTAATTCAATAAAGTTAAACCTCACTGAAATTGGGTTAATACTTTTGGGGTAAATTGTATTAAAAATGCAACTATGTGTTGTTGTGACATCGTATGCATCTTATCTAGCAGGAGGGAGAATGCTAAATGAACTTCCTCCATCATCAGCCTTGGAAGCCAGGCCAACTCCCCTTCCCCCCGCCTCCCCTGAGAGATACATATTCTAGTTCAAACTGGATTCTCCAGTGACCGACAAAGAAAATACTTTCTGATAAATAACCTGGGTTTAGATGGACTCAGGGCCTTCTTCCTGATCCAGCCAATGGACAGGACCGCTGATCCATGGAAGGTCCCAATCCTTCGAGGAGGGCTGGAAGAACTTGGTCTATTAAGGCCCCATAGGACTGGGTGCTTGTTCTGAGCTGGAGCTGTGGTGAACTGTTAAACACAAGGACTCCCCTACAGTGGGCCATTAAAGGACTTATCCTGCCAGAATCCATGTTAGGACTGGGGTTCCCGGTAAGCTTATTAGTGTGCATGGAGATTCTTTTATTATTTTCTCTGTAATGTGTATACCTTAAGTATAAAGTAGGCTTGCTTAGAAAGAACTGTGTGGTAACATATCTATAGCAATTATACTCTTTATCCGTCTCTGAAGAGAGAGCAAAACAGGTCTGTTTCAGCAGACTGTCTTGGCTAGGAAATAAACAGGGAAAGCAGGGAACTGTGCAGCCTGCGAATACCTTGATCACAAGGGGAAGAGACATGGGTCTCCACCCAGAAACACAATGACTAGGAGCATCCACAGGGACACACATCTCAAAGAATCATCATTACTGCACAAGGTGAGTAACTTCCTCTTCTTCTTTGAGTAGTGTCCCTATGGGTCCTCCACTCCAGGTGACTCCCGTGCAGTATCCCTAATGGGAGGCTGGGGCTTCAGCATCTAGTCTGTTATGAATGACAATGCTGCGGAAGCAAAGATAGCATCAGAAGCAGAGCCCCTGGTAATCGCATAGTGTTTTGCGAAGGTATGCTCAGACGCAGAGGTTGCTGCCCTGCAGATTTCAGAGATAGGGACATGCCTAAGGAAGGCGACAGAGGAGGAACCCGATCTCGTGGATTGTGCGTGGATTCCAGATGGAGGTACTACATTATGAACCTGATAGCAGTACTTGTGGCACCTTAGAGACTAACAAATTTATTAGAGCATAAGCTTTCGTGGGCTACAACCCACTGCATCCGAAGAAGTGGGTTGTAGCCCACGAAAGCTTATGCTCTAATAAATTTGTTAGTCTCTAAGGTGCCACAAGTACTCCTGTTATTTTTGCGGATACAGACTAACACGGCTGCTACTCTGAAACCTGATAGCAGTGTTTGATACAGTTCAAGTTCCATTTGGAGAGTCTCTAGGAAGATATCACTGCGCCTTTAAACCTTTGTGCAATGGAAAGAAAAAGCTTAGGAGATCTCCTAAAGGCCTTCATCCTGTCCAGGTAAAAGGCCAAGGCTCTTCTAATGTCTAGTGTGTGCAGTATAGCCTCCCTGTTATCATGGTGAGGCTTAGAGTAAAAGGTCAGGAGGTGAATCAGTTGGTTTATGTGAAAAGATGAGGTCACCTTGGGAGTGAACTCAGGTGTAGTGTAAGAGTAAGCTTGTCCTGAAAAAATATTGTATAAGGGGGGTGATAATAGCCATCAGTGCCGCTATTTCCCCTATTCTTCTCACCGAGGTGATCGCCAACAGGAAGGCTGTCTTCATAGACTGGTATGTGAGTAAACAAGTAGCCAGCCATGGGTTCAAAAGGCTGTCTAGTCAGTCTCTTTAGTATTAAGTTTAGGTCCCATGTTGGGGTAGGATGTCTGGGTTGGGGAAAAAGGTTTACTATACCCTTGAGGAATTGATTTGTGGTTGGGTGTGAGAGCACTGAGTATCCCTCTAGATGTTGATGGAAAGCTGCTATGGCAGCTAGGTGAACATTGAGTGAACTAAGAGATAATCCTGATTTCTTGAGAGTCAGTATATCATTGGGAGAGTAGCCGATGTCAGGGAAATTTGTCTGGAATTACACCAAACTTAAAACATGGTCCACTTTTGCAGGTAAAGTACAAGGTGTAGCCGATTTTCTACTGTGTAGTAATACACCCTGTACCTCCTCAGAGCAGGATCTTTCTATGTGCTGGAACGATGAAGGAGCCAGGCCTCAAGTCAGAGTATCTACAGTCTCAGATAGAGAGTGCATCCTTTGTTCTGCGAGAGGAGGTATGGAGCGGGTTAGAGAGATATCAGCAGGCATGTTGCCAATTATGACCGGTAAGGGTACCACGTCTCTCTCAATCAGGAAGGAGCAATCGGTATGATGTTTGCTCTCTTTTTATTTTTAACAGGACTTTCAGAAATAGAGGGAATGGGGGGAAGACGTAGAGAAGGTCCTTCTCCCATGGAAGAAGAGCATCCCCTAAGGAGTACTGTCCTATTTCTGCCCTGCAGCGTGGACATTTCTTGTTCAGGTAAGTTGCGAACATATCTATAGTTGGTGTCCCCCACCATCTGATTATGTTGTGTAGTACTGCTGAGTTTATCTCCCATTCGTGATTGCGTGGGAACTTGTGTCTGAGATAGCCCACTATCGTGTTTTATACTCCTGGAAGATAGGTCGTTGATATTGTGACGCTGTGGGAAATGCACCAGTTCTATAACCCACACAAAGGGAGGGCGATCTGGCGCATGCATGCTGTGTTGTCTGTCAAGACCCTTGTGTGTGTACCCTTGATTAGTAGAAAGAAGTGGGCGCAGGAATTTCTGACCACTCTGAGTTTGAGGAGATTGATGTGAAGAGATGTCTCTGTAGATGACCACTTGCCCTGTGTCGTAAGATTGTTGAGATGTGCACCCCACCCTATGAGGGGTGCGTTGGTGGTGAGGAATAGTGATGAGCAAGTTTGCGGGAAGGGGATCTCTGTGCAGACATCTGAGGTGGATGATTGTGATGAGGAAGACTGGGCGTCTGATGGTTTACGTTTGGAAAATGTGGATTTTTTCCTTTGTGGCTCATAATAGCATTGAGCTGGAAAATGTGGTGTGCGGGATTTATGCTGTGGTTGCGGACCAATTTTCTTTTTTGTCCAGGTGTATAAATCCCTAATTACTGGAGAGCGACCATGGAGTCTTTGATGCGTCCCTCCATACGCTCAGTCTTCTTGGCAAACAATTTGGTGCCCTACGAAGGGGAGGTCCTCTCCTGTAGTCTGTACTTCCTTAGGGAAGCCAGACAGGTGCAACCAGGATGCTCCACCTACCACCATTATAGAGATGGACCGGGCTGCTGTGTCAGCTGCATGAAGCACTGATTGGAGTGCGCTCTTGGCCACCAGTTGTCCTTCACTAACAATGGCCCCAAACTGTTCCCGATGCGACTCTGGGAGCTTATCAATAAATGCCTTAAGCTTGGTGTAACTATTGTAGTCGTATTTTGCTATCAGAGCTTGATAGTTGGCAATTCTGAATTGCAGTGTGGCAGATGAATACGCCTCTCTCTCAAACAGGTTAAGGGACTTCCAATCCCTATCACTGGGAGTGGGCTTCACCTGGTGTTGACAACCTCGGGAGTTTACTCGATCCACAATGGAATTGGGTCTGTGGTGTGACTTCCTCCTCATATTCACCCTCCTGTTCCTCCATAATCTCCACTGGAGGTTCAGAGGCTCTGGATACTGTGGCTGAGGGAGAGCACCTCAAAGGCTCACAGTGGGCCACACTAGATGCTTGAGAGGCTTGTAGTCTGTACGCCATGCAGGGATCCCAGTAGGGCCACTGTGATGGTGGAAGAGGTCCTGGTGGTGGTGCCCAGGGTTGACCATACCACGGTGGTTGAGGAGCAGACACAGGGTATGACTGAGGGGGCCCAGGTTGGTAGAGGGCACAATAAGGAATATGGGAGGAGTGATGGGAAGACTACCTCCTCCTGTTTGCTATCTGATTCACCACTGGAGAATGGAGGCATATGACACGGTACAAGATTCCTGCACCCAAAGTAAACTCTGTACCGGAGCCCCAGTACTGAGCAAAGGGAAAAATCTAACTATGTTAGATACCGAGAGGTCTTTAGAGTGCCTGAATTCTTGTGGTGCTGACTTCCTCGGTGCTGACGATGGTTGTCGGTGGGCCGAGGGTACCGAAGGGATCAGTGATCTGGGCTGTACCAAGCACTCTGATGCTGGATGGCTTGCTGTTGACAGTGCCAATGGTAAATCTTGTACCGTCAGCGTCGTCTTAGCTGTGGTGCAGTCTCTGCCCTTGCCTTTATCTGTCGGTACTGTTGCTTCGGTGCCTATACCCATCAGGTCTTTCAGCACATCAATGGTACCTGCCACTTCAGACCCTCGTGATCTATGGGTACTATGTTTAGATTGTCTTGGTACCGACGATATCAAACGGTGATCTTTCCCAGCTAGCTCAGTACTCTCTGCTCTCTTTTTTGAAGCCTTACATGAGGAGTAAGCGACTATTTTCTTTGACACATAGTCCTTAGATGTCAAGGACTGTGGGGAAGATTCGCGCCATCTGGGTGACTCCTGGCACCGGTCCAGGGATGGCTGAAGAGCTGTCTCCATGAGGAGGAGTTTTAGTCTCAGCTCTCGGTCCTTCCGAGATCTGGACTTGAGTTGTTGGCAGAGACTACAGTTTTGGGAAATGTGGCTTTCCCGGAGGCAACAGATGCAGTGGGAATGTTTATCTGCTACAGGGATGGCCTCCTTGCACATGAGGCACCTCTTAAAGCCCAGTGCACTGGGCATACGCCCATGCTGGGGCAAATCCCAGACAAAGGTGTTTTTTTAAAGAAAAGAAAAGAAAGAAAGCTCTACAACTCAGAAAGGGATTAACTAAACTATTGAAGTGCTAAGCGAGAGATAACGATACGATGAACAGACTGCTAATAGCTCAGTCTCTAGCTGGGGCAGTTGAGAAGGAACTGAGGGGGGGGTTCACCTGTGCGCACTGGTTAGCCTCGTGGCAGAGAGCACATGTGCAGGCTGAACAGACACTGCTACCAAAGTTTTCTGATCAGCTGGGCAGGACACAAGCGCACCTACAGTGGGGCACCCATAGGGACACTACTCGAAGAAGATGACTAAATTATAGTGTCCTTAATGCTAAGTGAAGGAGACAACCTCCATCTAGTTTCTAAACAGTATCAAAAGTTCTCACCACCAGAGGTCAGCATTCTACTTCTGCTGAGCATCTCACATGGCTCTCAGATTACCAGGGAATCCCTACTGTCTGAGGAAGCTAGCTGCCCTGATGAACATTCCCTTAGAGCAAGGATTTATCTCCTTAAACTAGGCAGCAAAGGCTATTACCAGCCATCAGAAGTGTGAATGATTAATAAGGCTCTTTCAGAGAGTTTATCAAGTTACTGCAGACCTGCACCAATATGCATTCTCAAGACATTTGGGAGAATTAAGAAAGCAAGTGTCTCATTTTCCTATGTCACCAGGATGTTGTGAGGATCAATGCATTACCGTGCTGAATGCCTCACAATCTTTAATGGGGTCCATATAGGTACCCGAGAGAGATTTGATATTACGTCCACCTATCCACCATCTAGTGTTTAAGCAGCACTGTGCGCCGGTCCCTGTTCTGCCTCTGCCATAGGAAGATACATTTCCCCATTGCCCTATGTGGAGGTGATGAAGAGGAAGAAAAAAAAATACAGATGGCTGACATTGCACGGCAGGAATATACAGACATCTGCTCTGGCAATCTCCAGCTGAATTTCTCAGACCGCAAGGGACCGAGGTGGCCATTTTATGGGCTATTTACCATCTCCCTATTTAAGGGGGAAGTGTGTTCTGACAAGCATGTTGAGAGCCATAAAGCAGAATTTTTTTTTTTCTACCATCACATCTCCATACCACACAGAAAACATTACATCCCATAAGAGGGCAATGCACCAGTTGATAAAATTACTCTGTCACCTTACCGTAACTGTAGTCCTTTATTTGTCCTGGTGCCCCCAAGCTGGTAAACCTTTGCAGTTTCTACAACACCAGTGATTTCAGCAACCTAAACCATAAAAAAGATGTGCAGAAGAACAGACTGTGAGGACTAAGTCCATGACATTTTCTGAACACTATCCATACTTCAAAGTCCTCTTCACTTGAGACCCAGCTCAGTCTGATTAACAATTCTAACTAGAAATCATCATCTAGAGCAAAGAAAGTTACACTGAAGACTCGTCCCTGCTATGTTAGCAGATATTGTACAAGTTACTTCGTATAGGTTTGTTCTTCACCTTCAGCTGGCAGTTTACAACGCCAGCTGAAATAGGTATGGCATTTAAGTGGTCTCAATTCTTCCCCAGTAACATGGTATGTATAATCCTACAGTAAAATAGCTGTATTTGGTATGGGGAGGAAATAAAAATACACCGTCAGCACTGCCCCATGTGTTAAGCACAATCACTCTGAAGTATCAGTTTTTGATTGGAACTTCAGAGGATGCTGCCATATTCTTTCATGTAGTCACTGTGATGAACAGCAACGAAATGATTCTCTCTCCCCAAGCGTAGTCCAATGTGTCAGATTATTTTATTTTACACAATTAGCACAAGAGAAAAAATGGATCTAGGTTCTTGCTCATCAGTACAGAAAACCAGTTTGACAGCACTACCTTGTCTTCACTGTTGAGCACAGCTGGTGTTAAATCCTTTACCAACGTCCTCAAATTCACTAACAGTTTTGAAGCAGCAAAGCATTTTTTCCCCCAATTACCCTCTCTTCTGAAGAGCACAGGCAAAGTGGAAATGTCTGGTACCATACTGCATACTTTCCGATTTCTCAAGAGACTAAGTGGTAAGAATTTACAGGAGTGACCACAAATTACAGGAAGCGGGAATCATACTGATCCTTACTTGATCACAGCAATAACTCAAAAACTAATTTTCAATACAGAATAAAGAGAAGCAGAGCAGCATCAGTTAGGGTCGGAAGACTAGGTTTTCAATATTGTTTTAGTATGGCCCCAATTTATCGCATTGATTTAGAAATCAATAAGCTGCAGCTCCCTATTTGGCCACCTTACCCCTCAATTTTTTTAAAACAAGCCATCTGCACTACTCTAACAGCAGGCTCCTTCAGTACATAATGAAGGACCTTTTACTGTAACCACCCAATAATTATGAGCTCTTTCTCCTGCGAGACCAGACAAATCATGGTAGCTGTGAACATTGCTGTGCTACCAAATGGGAATCAAATCCCTGGAAGACAAACTCACCCGATAGACAGGTTTACTGTTGTGGTTCCCAATGCCGATACGCACAAAGCAGCCGGTGACTGTCTTGGCAAAGAAGGGCATATGACACCAACGCTCCAGCTTATGCCGAGATAACCGTACCCGATTCAGTTCTTCGGGTAAGGAGACTGGCTGGGATTTGGGAGGAATTTCTTCTTTTCTGGTTTGGAAAAGACAAGAAGGACAAAAGGAATTTAAATCTATTAGCACCAAACAAAGGGGCTTTAGATAACTAATTGAAACATTTGTAAAAGGATTTAATTTGTCAGGATGGAAGAGTGTAGTTATTTGAATTTAGTGCTCATGAGAGCAGTCCAATGGAAAGCTCTGGAGACCAAAGCCCTATATACATAGGACAGGTACAGCATGAGCAGTAGTTTCCTTTACACTTCTCAACTGTGAGCCATGTTCTTCAGGGTACAAGTACTGTTGTCTCCAGGGCAATTTAATCCTTGGCCCAACGTCACCAAATCACAAATCAATGGTAGTAAATTTCAGACACGACAAATATGGGCACAATTTGAACAGTGATGTAGGATTCTTATCCCACCATTACGAGGCTCCTCAACCTCGTCAGTTTATACTCAACATTTTTCACAATGCAAGTGTGTAGCTTCAATTTTTCAACACAACTGGGGCTATTTCAAAATGTTTCCCCAACTGGCTTAGCCCTCAAGGGTTAAGTGCAAACTCTGGTGCCAACAAGCAAGAATTACCTCACCTTCCGATCACTGCAGACAACAGGAAAGAACACACTTGGGTCACAAGAGAGTGTTAAATCCTAGCTGCTGATCCAGTGGTGGGAAGCTGGACTACAAGAGGGAATGCAAATAAATCCCAAATCTAGCTGCACGTAGAAGCCCGCAAATGACATTGCCAAGAGGCAGAGCCACCTCTGATGCATCAAGTTGCCCCCACTTAATCCTCTAAACCAAAACATGGTCAGACAGGTATTTTAAACACAAACACACACACACACACACACACACACACACACACGACAGCAGTTTTTTATAACCTGTGTTTAATACTTACTCTTCCTCCTCATCAGATGAGGATGATCTGGATGTGCGATCACTCTTCTCACTAGACTTATCATCCTCTTCTTCCTCTTCATCATCTGAGTATACTTCACTAGTTTTTAATGGCTGTTTTTTTGCAAGCAACTCAGCTGAAAAAGGAAATAATTGAGCCTTTATTTTTGCTGAAAGCTTCTCCTTGCACTTGGAACCTTCAGTTGTAAGAGACAGGATAACCAGATAATTATGTGCTCACAAGCTGGAAACCAGCTTCATAGCATACAATTACACTTACACCTAAGCATTCACTTAGTCACTGTAAGTATACTATTTGAAACAAACAGGAGTATGCAAAAGTTACCTAAATCTCAGCTGTGCTCATTTGAAACACTGGGTGTTGAACAGCAATGTGATAAGGGAACAGGATTCACATATGCATACTTGAGCTTATTGCTACCTTGCCAGTCTATCTGCTCATGACAACAACTTTTGGAAGAAAAAGGCACAGACCCCTAAGGTATTAGACCTTTTTAACCAGTCTAGGCAAGAACCAAGGAAGGCCAAAAGATGGTGTCGCAACTGCAGTCTGCAACAAAATGCCTGGGGCATGTGGTGGAAAGAACAAAATATGTTCTGTTTACATGTATAGAAACAGATGGCCATAGAGAAAACATTACTGAGAAATTAACAGAGTCTAGGTGGTTTAGGGGTTCAGTAATGGGAGCTTTCACCTCTAGGTAGCCACTTGAACTACATCTCAAGCTGGCAGGAATGAAATGTTGTCAAGTGATCACTATTCAATGGATTGTGTGAAATTATTTGGTGGTTTCAGTCCACTCCCCAGTGAATACACATCCCTGTCTCACAAGCCACCGCCGCCAACTGGCACCTTTAATAGCAGTTTCAGTCAAAAGACCAAGGAACGAGTGAACATGGAAATGGCAATTTTGGAGTGAACAAAGGTCAAGGTTGGAGCATATTGGGGCGGAGTGTGAGTGGGGAAGCTTGATTAAAGATTTTGGGCTAAGTTTACATGAAATTGTATTGAAGATTTTTTTTTTTTTAAATTAAAAACCACACAGTTCCGAAGATATTACAGGGTTTAGAATCAGTTCAGTAGGCCACTGAAGAACAAAATGTACTGGCTTTTAAAATGGTGGAGGCAGCACTATAGGGAGAAGTGGGTTTGGGGAAACTGCCAAAACAAGAATTGGGGGCAAACAAAGAGGAAATGGGGAAACAAGAAAACCACCATTAGTTTCTAAACCAAATCAATCCACTTAACTGAGTTTTTTGTATTGACACCAGTTTAGAGACTAGTGCCCCAGCATCACCTGCTACAGCCATATTACATGATTAGTAAACGCACTCCAAATTACGTTCTCTGCAGGTCAACAACAAATTTTCACACTCACCTGTTCTGTTCTTCCTTTTCTCTCTCTCTGCTTTCAGTTCCTCCATGGCCTGAGATTTCTTATCCAGTTTCTCATCCCGCTTTGACCGTCGTTCTTTGTTGTGTGACATCACCTAAAGGGCGTGCACAGAGAACACTTCATTACCTAGCCACAGCTCAGACTGAAATGAGGAACAAAGTTAAAAGTTCTCTATTCTAGAATTAGAGCTGGTTGAAATTTTTCATTCAAACGATTCAATAAAGTCCCTTTCCCCTCCCCCCAAAAACCTGAAAATTTTCAGAAAAGCCTTTGAAAATCCTAAGCTCTGTGTCAAAACTGAAGATTGATATTTCAAATGTCAAAGTTTAATTTTTTGTTTCTCTCTTCTTTGCTTTTTCCTTCTTTTTTTCCTTCCTTATTCCTTTCTGCCATTGAGTTTTGCCTAGAGTTTGTTTTCACTTTTTTGGCTAAATTTCAGAACTTCAATTTTGGAAGAGTTACAGAATGGCAAAAGCAAAAATGAAACTAACTTTGCGAGTCTCAGAAGTTTTGAAAAGTTAAAATGGCAACAGAAAAATGGGACAATCAAGATAAATAATCCTGGACATCATTCATTTTAATGCACGCAGTGACAAAAGGGAAAAAGGGGGATGATGGGGAAAAAGTTATACATTTTTCAAAATATATTTTGCACAGAATTTCAAAAAACAAAATACTGTTCCATTTCAAACTCTGCAAGATGGAAACAACTTGAAGATGCCATTTTTCACAAGAGATTTTTCCATTTTCAGCACCTCTATCTCAAATACCTGGTAGTGTTGTATGGAAGGTTCTATCAGCATAAGTCCTGAGCGACTTATGCAGGATATTCTTGGACAAAACCTTTCTAACACACCACGAGCTGGGTGTTCTGTTTACACTGTGTGTTACAGAACTACTATAGTACAAATGATTTGGGTTCAAGAGTTACTATTTTTCCCCCTCCAGACTTTCTCGGTACCATGAGCCCAACAGCATAGACATCAAGAGCAAAAACCAACTAAAATTTTTAGATGTAGCTGAACGTTTCCTAAAGTAGCTCTACTACCATCACTGTAAAGTCTGATCTTGGAACTTCCCAATGGAACACAAGTAGAAAGCTCAGGCCCTTGCCTTTCCAGTGGTATAAAGCTCTCATTCCTAGCCCTCGTGGGTTATGAGATAGCAGACTTTAAAATCTGTCATCGGTGCAAGAATGCATATTGCATAACCTGCACTTCAGACCAATGACGTTTCTTTGCAAGGGCAAAAAGACCAAACAACAACAAAAAAAATCGTTTCACTGGCAGGTTGTTTTTCAAAAAAAAGTGGCAGTTGTTTGAAGTTGTTCAAATGTTTGGAATTTTAGAGGTAGCCCCTAGGAAAGATGGAATAGTTGGCAAAATACACGCGAGTCAATTAAAGATGCAGAAAAATTGTAACATGTGGCTCTGCCATTTATCACATATAAGTAAAGTACACACAAGGGATGTTATCTAGATAGGAGATAAAAGACTATATAGACAAAGCGGGTTCTTTCTTTATATTTGCTAGAAGAGTAAAATTGTGTAAATTAAATTTCACACAGAAAGCTATATTAAAAGAGCATTCAAGTTGCCAAGTGAAGCACTCAAGAGGCAAGAAATACCAAAGTATTCTTGCATAATTAACTCTTACCCCTTATGCATGTGAATTACAATACAGTCCTTCATGACATGAACACATTCCTTCAGAGCCCTACCTCTGGCCCTCCTAGAATATTGCCACATGCACTTGCACGTGTAATGAGAAATTTAGCTCAACTTCCTTATAAATGCAGGTAATAGAGTCGGCAGAATATTCCTAGGTTGTTCTTCAAAGAGAATTCTCATATAAAGTCTGTACACATGCACAACACACGTTTAAGAACTTATAACTTGACTTAATTCTAAACAGATTTTCACCAGACTACAGAAAGTCTCTAGGCTGCAGATGTGCTTATGTCCCTACCACCTTTTACACTTCTGCTCCACACCAGAGGGGCACTAGGAGCTATTAATTTTTTTTTTAAAAATAGAAAAAATTATTATTCATTATTCTTTGTGCTCAAAAATGGCTTAACTGTTTTTGGTCAAACTCCCCTAAAAAATTCACTTCCACCATGGGACCAAATGTGGGAAATTTCAGCTTGAAAGGTAAAAGTTTGACAAAAAGATATAAGCAACAACAAAAAGCCCCTTTAGAATGAAAAGTTAAGCAAATATTATATAATAGAAGAACAAATATAGCTATATATTTTCTTTAATTTATACGTTCTTTGAGATCTGAAAACTCAAGATTGCATTGAGCACAGAAGTGACCTGACTTCCCTGCCCCCTACCAGGTTGCTGGGAGGGGTATGGAAAGTGGCAGGAAGGAGGGCAAAAGGCAGCAGCATTCCTCTGTGGGATAAAGTGACTCTAGTAGTGAGAATTGCTGTTTCTCTTACCTGGCATTCCTGGATCTGTGAGAGCTTTTTCTTCTCCTGCTCTTCCTCTTGCTTTTTCTTTTTCTCCTTTTTTTCTTTCTTTTTTGCTGTTTTTAGTTTCTTCTTAATTTCAAATCTGGGCATAAACAAGTGGGGCAGAAGAAAGTAGATGAAAGGGCTGAAACCAATTTCCGGCATGACTCCGATAAGGACGGGCATCAGATTCAAGGAGCATTATGGATTAAAAACCTGAGATGGACAGTAAGTATAAAATATTGAGTTCTCTATCACTGAAATAGTGCCTGAAGTTAAAAGAAAATGGATACATGCTCAATCTCACAGCTGAGCCACAGTTATGCTGTGATAAAATGGGAACTGGAACAGTCAAGCCAAGTACAGTAAGAACCAGTAGTTGAAGTTTGATAGTAATCTAGAACCCAGACACCTACTCCTTGGAAAGGTACATGTGATGCCATGTTATACCTAGGGGAACAGACATACTAACTTGCAAATTTTGTTATTTGTTACATTGCAGAACAGTGCCTAAATATAATCAGGTTCTTTAGATTTCAGCCTAAAAGCTTGTGAAGTTTCTTTTTCAGCACCCATACAAACCTCACTGTTCAACTCCACAGCTATCGACCTTTCCAAAAGAACCAGAAAAAGCATGCCTCTAGTATTCATAAGCTACAAGAACAAAATTGTATTTCAGACTTGGTCCCAGTTCTATCATACACATAATTCACATTACAAAACAGCCAGAGAACAAAGACATGGCTTGACAACATTATTATAAAACTACAATTAGGGCTTCCATTCGAACACCAGCCAACTTGGGAGGAGACATGCACAGAATAGGGAGGAGTGCTGCAGCAGAGTGATTGAGCCTACAGCGGAGAAAAGCAGCATATTTTTGATGCCTGCACGTACAAACTCAACGCTGACCTGTATAGCATCATTTATGTAGATGGGTCTTCCAATGGGTTTATGCTCAAATAAATTTGTTAGTCTCTAAGGTGCCACAAGTACTCCTGTTCTTTTTGCGGATACAGACTAACACGCTGCTACTCTGAAACTTGTCACAGAAACAGTGCTCGCTTCCTTTAATAATAATAATTAAAAAAAAGTAAAACTAAGAATCTAGATTTTCTGGTTAGAGAACACCATCTCTACTCTAACAGCCCAATCCTGCAAAAGACTGAGCATGTAAGTAACTTTACTCAAACAAGTAGTTCCATTGGAACACTTAGCCCCCAAGAAGAATGTTGACAAACTTTTATTAATGTGCTCTGTTGAGGGACCAGAGCAGAGTAATCTGAAGAAGTGAGGTTCTTACCCACGAAAGCTTATGCTCCCAATACTTCTGTTAGTCTTAAAGGTGCCACAGGACCCTCTGTTGCTTTTTACAGATTCAGACTAACACGGCTACCCCTCTGATACAGAGCAGAGTAAATTAGTTTCCAGTTCTCATCAACCTCCTTTCAAGAGGCTCAGTCAATGAAGGCTCTCTACCACTCCACTAGGAATCTCCAAAAACCCGCTGCTGAGCCCTGGAAGAAGGTATTCTGTTCACTCAAGAAAGGTATCACTTGCCAGCCACTGGCCCCAGCTCCCAAGATGTTATCGGAAAACCACAATTAGTGTTTCCAGAGTTTCAAAACACCAGCTCCATGCTGATATCTCCCCATATCTTGTTCAACATGCAGTCCACCTTGCCTTAGAGAAAGTGAAAGTAGAATGGAGGGAAACTGGGCACTGAAGAGCACAGATCAGGGGAAGATGGAACTACCCCACAAGGGGTGAGGAGGAGACCATGTGGGACTAGCTTCTCCCTAGAGTCCAAGCTCAACTTCATCTTCCTTTTCTCCAGCACAGTGGCTCCCCTCCAGGTTGCCTCAGCAGACACCTTCAAATATTCAAAGTTGACTATTCCAAGGTGTTAAATCTCCATATCCTAAAGGATGATCAACTAAACCCCACCAACATGTTAACATGTTTAGTTCAACTCCACTTTCCTAACGCACAGAACAATGTAACAGCAAGTCACTGAGGTGGATCCAAAACATCATGGATTGAGGAGTTATATGGGTATATCACAGAGTATTTCCTAGGATGAGAAACTAAACTCCACCTCATCTAGCAAACTTTTGCAAAACACTTTAAATTCAACAAGTTGCCAAAACTTTAAAAATTAAACAGAAGACCCTGAAAAGATCTTGAGCCACTCTTAGCAATGCTCAGCTGTTTATAGGTTTTCTTAGCCAACATGGTAACTAGACTAACTGAGCAGATGGTTTGTAAGAGATGGGGATTCTCAAGTTATTCCCCTGGGGATTTAGAGAGACACTTGCTCCATTCTGGCACTTCCAGTACAGCAGACATTACCTGAGCATCAAGAATTCTGCACTGAAGGTGATCGAAGCAGTAGCAATGTAGAAGCCCATGTAAGTTTCTAAAGTGAAAGGAAATTAGTTCCTCTGAGGGGTCCAAGCTTCTCTTATGGCACATAAGCTGTAATATAATGGCTATGCAGCTGCTCCATTACAAGCCACTTGGTTGGGGGAGAAATGAATGGATTCCCTTTTCTCCTACCCTCTGATTCTCCGCACAAAGCCTGCATCAATTCACCTCAATAGAGTGTTAACAAAACCTAGGGACAACAGTTTAAAATTCTCAGCTTCAACTACTTGCTTTAGCAGAAACATCCATTTCAACTGAGGCTGTGAATACAGAGTGAGTAGAATACCACCAATTTTTCACCCAAACTGATTCATGAACTATCTGAAGACAGAGACTGTTCAGAGAAGACTTGGAGGAAACTGCTAAAAGCAGACTCTAGTAACAGCCAGGCTGGGCCAGACTCATGAAGATCCCATAACTGATCATACTGGCATGGGTAGTAGGCCAGAACCCTCCCCTCTACAGACCTGCCAGAGGAAAGGAGGGAAGAAGAGATGAAAAACATTGAGAAAAAGTAGAATAGAAGGGAAAAATCTGTTTCATGTAAACCATAATTTTGTCAGTTACACGCAACAGCACCACCTTTAACAGAAAGAATTTTATCACTGAAATAGCAAGTTTGACAAGAGAGAGAGACACAAAAACCACTCAATCTAAGGCCTTGTCTACACTACAAAGTTTTGTTGACAAAAGGTAGCTGTTCACCATTCCGGAGGTGTCTAGTCAGACAATGAACCATCACCTGGTTAAGCAGCCATTCTTCAGCAGGAAAAAGGGGTGTGAGCAAAAAAATGTATATCCTGACAGTGGAACAGCTGGAAGTTCCCATGCAAACAGACTTGCTGTCGCCTGAATCCCAGCTGGAGTTGATTCTCAAAGAAGAGAAATGCTACAAGAAAGGGGAACATTCTCCAGATTATCTTTCTCCCCTCATCTCTAACTCATGGCATCAACACTTGAAAGACAAAGGAAGCATCACTGAACTGGGGGAGGAGTCCTGGCTGAAAAGAATCCAGCCAGACTGCTGTAAGCACGTGGTGAGAGAAACCTTTTTACTTTAAATTCACTTAGCTTGTTAAGTTAGGTATTCATTTGAATTTTACCTTTTATATTTTTGTAACCAATTCTGACTTATTCCTCATTACATGTAATCACTTAAAATCCATCTTTCTGTAGTTAATAAACTTGTTTTATTGTTTTATCTAAACCAGTGTACATTTGGATTGAAGAGTTATCTCAAATGAAGTTGTCCAAACATTATTTTCTATTAATAAAATAGACTATGAGCTTGTATTGTCCAGAAGGAAAGAGCTGAGCAGTACAAGATGCACATTCTGGGGACAAGTCTGGGACTGGGAATTTGCTGGTGTCACTCTGCAATATAATTCAGGAGTGAATGGCTAGAGCACTCATAACTCAGCTGGCAGTAATTTGCATGCGAGAGGCCGTATGTGAGCAGGCCAAAAGTGGTTGCTCTCACAGCAAAGCAGTGTAAAAGGCACCCCAGCTTGAAGAATTGAGAGGACACAGCTGTTCAGCAATCCAGATTGTACCCTGAGTAATGTCACATCGTCTTCTCGTGGATCAGTAGCTGGTTAGAAGACAGGAAACAAAAGGGTAGGAATGCATGCTCAGTTTTCACAGTGGGGAGAGGTAAATAGCAGGGTCCCCCCCAAGGATCTGTACTGGGACCAATGCTGTTCAACATATTCATAATAAATGATCTGGAAAAAGGGGTAAACAGTGAGGTGGCAAAGTTTGCAGATGATTGCAGTTAGATTTGGATTTAACTAAGAGTTACAAAGGGATTTCACAGAACTGGGTGACTGGGCAACAAAATTGCAGATGAAATTCCATGTTGATAAATGCAAAGTAATGCATGTTGTAAAACATAATCCCAACTATACCTAAGAAATGATGGGGTCTAAAAATTAGCTGTTACCACTCAAGAAAGAGATATTGGAGTCGTCATGGATAGTTCTCTGAAAAACATCTGCTCGCTGGCAGCAGCAGTCAAAAAAGCTAACAATGTTAGGAACCATTAGGAAATGGATAGAAAATAAGACAGAAAATATAATGCTGCTAGATAAATGTATGGTACGCCCACACCTTGACTACTGCATGCAGTTCTGGTCGCCCCGTCTCAAAAAAAGATATTAGAATTGGAAAAGATACAGAGAAGGGTAACAAAGATGATTAAGGATATGGAACAGCTTCCATACGAAGAGAGATTAAAAAGACTCTGTCTGTTCAGCTTAGTAAAGAGAAACTAAGCAGGGATATAATAGAGGTCTATAAAAGCATGAATGGTGTAGAGAAAGTGCATAGGGAAGTGTTATTTACCCCTTCACATAATACAAGAACTAGGGGTCACTCAATGAAATTAATAGGCAGCAGGTTTAAAACAAACCAAAGCAAATGGTTCTTCACACAACGAACAGTCAACCTGTAGAACTCATTGCCAAAGGATGCTGGGAAAGGAAAAAGTATAAGTGGGTTTAAAAAAGAACGAAAGAAGTTCATGGAGGATAGGTCCATCAATGGCTATTAGCCAAGATGGTCCAAGACACAACCCTATGCTCTCGGTGTCTCTAAACCTCCAACTGCCAGAAGCTGTAACTGGATGACGGGATGGATCACTTGATAACTGTCCTGTTCTGTTCATTCCCTTTGAAGCATCTGGCACAGGCCACTGTCAGAAGACGGGATCCTGGGCTAGACAGACAATTGGTCTGACCCATTATGGCCGTTTTTATGTTCTTAATAATTCATAAACTTACCTTCTCTTCAGCACTTCCCTCTTCTCTATCCGGTTAAATAGCTCCTGTTCCCTCTCCTTCTCTGTCATCTGTTCCAGCCGAGCTCTGTCCTCCTCATCTCCCATCAGGTCTTCCCCATAACCATCGTGGAACTCCTCATCTTCAGATGATGAATCTGAATCTGAGCTGGAGGAGGAGCTGTTGCTCTCCGAATCAGACACTTCACCTGAAATGAAACCATGGGACAATTACGTTATGCTGAGGTAAAACTAAGTACTCCAGCTTGGCCTTACCAACAATGGATGTGGAATATGGCAGCCGTATTTGTTCTCCACTACACTAGTAACAGTATGGAATAAGAAGGAATCAGAATAAAGCCAATTAAATTGAAAGACAGTACATTTAAAAACTCAAAATGGAATACTTTGCTTTCACCCAAAATGCACTACTATCTACAAGGTATCATGGAGTCCAAGGACTTTACAGAATTTTCAACAGATTATGGTGTCACTACTGTTCCACCATAATGTCCACTCAAAGATGCAAAGAAGTTTTCATTTTGATAGGACTGTTACTTCTACATTTCAGGAAAAATAAGTTTAACAAAAATACTGAGTGACAGAGTATGTGAATTTTTCACGTTGTTTTGATGCAGATCAGGTTGACGCACACTGAATATAAGATATCAAAAGTGATTCTACCATTTTTTAATTTTTCAACCCTTTTTGACAAGAACGTTAATCTGTGATCGGATTTATGCCCCACGTATTACTTTACATCTGCTAAGTAGGACACAGTACCACTTAGAAGTAGGTTCCAGGTTTCCTACAAGTTAGTTTTAATACACCAGCATGAAGCTGACAGCTTAAGCACTGTCAACATCATCATTCCCACAGCTGTTGAAACAACAGAATGTTGTTTGAATAGGACTTCAGGTGAGAACATTGCTAAGCTACAACACAGGCTAGAGCTGAGACAGACTGCCCCAAGGGATAGTTCCTTGAGGAGACCTTAAGTTCATCTCTCAGCTCAACTGACGGTAGTTTATAGTTCCATACCCTTCACCACCTTTATTGCTAGACAACCCAAGAAGGCAATCAATTATAACTGCCAGTACCTTCCCACCATCACTTTACAAACAAATTAGCTTCAGGAACTGCTGAGAACAGAGCTTAGGCCTCTGATGGGACCACCCAAATATTACCCAGCCATACTGCATCTCGATTGATTGTTCCACATTGTCATTTTAACCAATACACCATATTGCCCTCCCAGAGTCACAGACGGAATCTTGGATTCCTGACCCCATCCCCAACAGATACTAAAAAGCAATACAGCCCTAGGACCCTATGAAATCTGTTTTATTATTGTGGATTTTCAGATTTATTATTTTCTGATTGCTTTTTTCCCCATTTTTTTTAAATTAATTCTGTCTTTATGGGGTTTTTTCAAATCAAAATTGTTTGATACATTGACAACAATTAAGTAGCCTTACTGTAAATGCATAAAAATGTTCAGAATTGGACTGCAATGGGAAAAACTGATTTTACAAAAAAAAATCCTACAATTTAAACAAAACATCCTGCAGATATACAGTATACAGTAAAAGTAATACATTTTAAATCACTTTTTAAAGTAGTGCTCAGTAACGTGACCAAACTAACATTGCTGAACAGTAACACAAGTACACAGAAGTAAGAGCTCTTACGGTGTCAATTCAACTGAATTCATATTGGAATTAAAAAGTAAAAAAAATGCACTAAGCATCAAATATTTCATCCTTGCAGCAGTCATTGTTGCCATTTTAAATTCAACTCAGTACTTTCAAACTTCCTATATTCTGAAGGAATGCTTAAATTCATTTCAAATTTGATTAAATAATTTCAAAGTATCACATCAGTTTATTGCTGAGTAGCATTACAAATTGAAAAACTTAAATGTCATTTCTGGCAGACATCTCCACTGTGGTACAACATGGTTAGCCTTGTAGTGTTTCCTACAGAAAGTGATTCCCTCTTGGCTGCAAGTAGATTTTTATATTTACTAAAGCTTCTCTCTGTGTCTACAGAGCTGACAGGGAAAAAGATGTAAGGGTAAGACCACCTCTGCTATTTTAGGCGCTCGTCCTTTCATAACCTTCCAGTAAGTGTAAAGATACAGTGGATCTGGGATAGGCTCATTTTGAGTGCTGCGCAGAAATACCAGCCATTGTTCATACAGTTCTGATGAGAGGCAGGCGAGAGGCGGTAGCTTGCTGTACTGATCAATGTTTTGTTGCATGGTTGGAGTCTGCCTGAGAGCCGCAACTCCTGTGAAACTAACACAGCAAGGAACTGAGTTCTCAAAAGCTGCACTTAAATCCCAGATGCTGGCCCTTCTCCCCTAGCCCTTGCACTCCCTGGTGGCCCTAGCACCCCGCATGTCCCTCCCCACAGCTCTAGCCCCCGTGTCCCCCCTCCCAGCATCCACTGGTTTCTTACCTCCGGGGCTGCAGTTAGCTCAGCTGTGTAGCCTGCACTGCCTGCCTGCCACTGCGGTCCCTAATGCTAGGGAGAGCCTGGATTCTGTATTATTTTGATTCCACGATTCCGTCCGAGTTCTTGTTAACAGAGATTTTATAGGGCTCTACATCCCCCAACTTCAATCTTGCAATCTAGCACAAATCCTTAAGCTCATACGCTCTTATATCAACAGATTGGCATATCTGATTGTCACACAGTTCATTCACTTAGGAAATTATTCTGCCTTAACATTGCTGAGGTCACTGTTAAGTTTTCCAGTCAGTGTGTGTTTGATAAAGCTGGGGAACATATTGCTTTTCAGTATTTGTTGAAAATGGAAGTAACAACCCTAAACTTCTAAGAATGGTATCACCACTACGGCAGGCATTATGAAAGTGGCAAAGAATATGGGAGAGTTTTCCCTTAATTTATTATAATGCTTTTAAGGTTTTGAGTGGGTGGGATGTGCCTGGATGCAACAAGAACTGTCATTGTAAGTTTTTCTTTGCATTAACATGGATTACAGCATCTTCCTCTGAAATATCTGTTACCAGCCACTGTTCAAGACAGAATAATAGAATAGATAAACAATGGGTCTAACATCTTCCTAGACTTATTCCATTACCAGATACCTGCCTGACGTTTTTACCATAAACAAAGTTACACTTGACTTTTCTTCTACAATTTCAGCAACACATAGTATAAGAATTTTGATACAGTGTATAGGATAATTAGCAGTCTTATATGAATACATAATTAAGTATTCCCCATACAGCACAGTACCTGTAACGACAGTCAAAGGAAAAGTTTATGTGAGTGTGGGGAGACATCCATGGGAATAAAAGACAGTGGTTCCTAAAGGGAAGGAACAAACTAGAGGGCCTAAAAACTCTGCCCTCCCCATCTTTAATTTCTAACAGAGACAGATAGGTTTAACATTTTTCTGTTGAAGTACTATTTAGTATTTTTAATAAGTGCTTTCAGCAATACTGTACTTAACTACAGGTAGTTTGAGGTCAGTGCCGAGCCACCGCAAGTCTAAAAATCATTTGACAAGACCATCCAGATTACTAGGAGCATAAAACAAGTATTCTGAAGATGATTTGGGGTATCACTGACATACTGAATAGCACATAAAATGAGGTAGCTTCATTCTGAGTAGCACTGTCAGCTGGTGCACAAGGAGTGTTTTCTTACCCTCTTCAGGTGCTGAACTCTCAGCTGAGCTCTCTTTGTCTGAGCTGCCTGAGGAGGCAGCTTTGTTCATCTGTTTCTTCATAGCTCCCTTCTTCTCTACTTTGCCAGCTTTTCCCTTCTTTTTGTTTTTAGAACCTCCAACAGTCCACTGAAAAGTAAAAGGAAAGGACAAACATGAGACAAGGCACTGGAAGACCCCACCCACTATCCTCAAAAATAATCAAAACCACACCACAGTGTAAGAAATAGTTTTGAGAAACATTCCAATATACGGACAGCTGGAAGACAAATCAGTGCTACAAGAAAACTGAGGCAAATGGCAAGCCGTGCATTTATCCCATCAGACCTAACAATCAGTCACATGAAAATCATCCAGATTTTTACCACCTGCTAACAGATGGCTCATATTGATAGGACAAAACAGTTTTAAGGCACAGAAAGGTCCCCAAACTCTAAAATAATTGTTTTGTAATATTTAACAGCAAATCTGAGTACTGAGGGCTTTTACTCAGAAAAAAAAAGTTTACCAATATAGCTGGACATTTCTTATTCAGTGTTTTAGCTTTAGTCTCCCACTATTAAACAGGAAAAAGTGATTGATTTGTTTCCAAATCAAGTTTATTCAAGAAGCACATTTTAGATTCCACTAAGGGAAAGAGGTATAGAGACAGAGTCCTGCAAAAAAGTCCTCATCCTCAACCCCTACCAGGAATACACAGAACAGACAAGTCATATGGTAATTGCAGTTTTTTTGTCCCTAAATTAATGCATGGAACACCATATGCAATAATACAAAATATTTCCATATATGTAAGACACACAGTAATCGCTGCCACAGGAACTATAAATTTAGTTTGACTTTTATACTTAAAAGGCTCAACTTCAGCATTCTCTTAACATTCTTCTCTGGTTGTTGTTATGCTTAAATTAAAAGCTTCCTGGGGCAGGACTGTACCTTCTTGTAAGGGGGGGTGGGGGAGACATCAATGAGGTTCTGTAGCCTGCAATGTGCAGGAGGTCAGACTAGAGGATCACGATGGTCCCTTCTGACCTTAAAGTCTGTAAGTATGTATGGACAGCACCTCGGACATGGTGCAAAAGATTAACATTGTGTCCCTGTAGTTGCACAAATTCCTTTTACCTTCTATTATACCATATATTTTCTGATTAGGTTTCTTCTTCATCCCTTACCACTCATCACCCAGTCACAGCTGATCGACCCACAAGAAGGGTCAACGATCATTCAGGAAACAGTGTGTTCATATGCTCTGGTCCCTTATTAACTATCAGTAGTCTTGTGCTTTTGGGAATTCCCACTGGATATGAAAGAAGGTTCTATCTCCAAAAGGGGTAAGAGTTTTAAAATTTTTGTATCTTCACACCATGCCATTATATTAACCTCATTCCCGTGACCACCCACAGTCAGGGTCCAGTCCACCTGACATTATTTAAGCAACCAGTCCCTTAAATAGAAACTCCTTGTGGTAGAGCAACATATATCCTTTTGCATGAGTGAGATCTTGCACTCAAGACCATTCCCCCAGCCTTTTTAAAAAGAGAGGGGACACAAAACTACTGCCTAATTAATAGGGCTGTCAATTGCAGTTAACTCACACGATTAACTCAAAAATTAATCACAATTAATCGCACTGTTAAACAATCAAATACCAATTGAAATTTATTAAATATTTGTATGTTTCTACATTTTCAAATATATTGATTTCTATTACAACACAATAAAGTGTACAGTGCTCACTTTATTATTTTATTACAAATATTTGCACTGTAAAAATGAAAAACAAAAGAAAGTCTTTCAATCACCTCATATGTACTGTAGTGCAATCTCTTTATCATGAAAGTGCAACTTACAAATGTAGATTTCTTGTTACATAGCTTCTCTCAAAAACAAAAACGATGTAAAACTTTAGAGCCTACAAGTCCATTCAGTCCTACTTCTTGTTCAGCCAATCGCCAAGACAAACAAGTTCTTTACATTTACAGGAGATGCTGCTGTCTGCTTCTTATTTACAATGTCACCTGAAAGTGAGAACAGGTGTTCGCATGGCACTTTTGTAGACGGCATTGCAAGGTATTTACATGCCAGATATGCTAAACATTCATACCTCTTTATGCTTCAGCCGCCACTCCAGAGGATATGCTTCCATACTGATGATGCTCGTTAAAAAATAATGTGTTCATTTAATTTTTGACTGAACTACTTGGGGGAGAACTATGTCTTCGGCTCTGTTTTACCCGCATTCTGCCATATATTTCATTTTATAGCAGTCTCGGATGATGACCCAGCACGTTTGTTTTAAGGACACTTTCGCAGTAGATTTGACAAAACGCAAAGAAGATACCAATGTGAGATTTCTAAAAATAGCTACAGCACTCAACCCCAGGTTTAAGAATCAGAAGTACCTTCCAAAATCGGAGAGGGACGAGGCGTGGAGCATGCTTTCACAAGTCTTAAAAGAGCAACACTCCGATATGGAAACGACAGAACCCGACCACCAAAAAAGAAAATCAATGTTCTGCTGGTGGCGTCTGACTCAGATGATGAAAATGAACATGCGCAGTCCACACTGCTTTGGATCGTTATCGAGCAGAACCCAGAATGGATGCATGTCCCATGGAATAGTGGTTGAAGATGAAGGGACATATGCATCTTTAGCGCATCTGGCATGTAAACATCTTGTTACACCGACTACAACAGTGCCACGCGAACGCCTGTTCTCACTTTTGGATGACATTGTAAAGAAGAAGTGGGCAGCATTATCTCCTGCAAACCGTAACCAAGTTTGTTTGTCTGAGCGATTGGCAGACGTAAGACTGAGTGGACTTGTAGGCTCTAAAGTTTTACATTGTTTTATTTTTCAATGCAGTTATTTTTTGTACATAATTCTACATTTGTAAATTCAACTTTGATGATAAAGAGATTGCACTACAGTACTTGTATGAGGTGAACTGAAAAATACTCTCTTGTTTTTTACAGTGCAAATCTTTGTAATCAAAAATATAAAGTGAGTACTATACACTTTGTATTCTGTGTTGTAATTGAAATCAATACATTTGAAAATGTAGTAAACATCCAAAAATATTTAAATAAACTATATTCCATAATTTTTTTAATCGCGCAATTAATTGCAATTATTTTTTAATCGCTTGACAGCCCTACTAATTAAGTATTATTCGGACTCAGTGTCAGATCTGAACTTAGTCACATGTATACCTCAGACCACACCTGTTATTCCTTTTGGGACATATCAACACCCATCCTCCCTGCCTGCAATCAATAGTCACATTAATCAAATCTGACTGTTTTCCTTCTGCAAGTACCCTTTTTCATCTGGTTAGCCTGCCATTCCTAGAATGCCTAGACACCACAGCTTTCTGAATTAACTCTCCTGATACTCAGTTATAGACCTTATCCTCTGATGTGTCAACAACTTTTTATTTTTCCAAGCTCTTGATTTTTATGTTCCCTCTTTCATCCTCTCCACACAGTGCTCCACAATTGAAAGTTACTTAGTGCTGCGCAGTGCGTTCTCTTCCCATGTTTAAATATCCTTTGCTCATCAGTTTATGGGGGAGGCTCCATCACTTCCATAGTTTTTGAAATATATACAAGTACTATAGATGGATCAAACAGCTAACGTATATTTGTCTCAAAACCCACCAGCACCTCTACCCCGATATAACGTGACCCAATATAACACGAATTCAGATACAACATGGTAAAGCAGTGCTCCGAGGGGGCGGGGCTGCGCACTCCGGCGGATCAAAGCAAGTTCGATATAACGCGGTTTCACCTATAACGCGGTAAGATTTTTTGGCTCCTGAGGACAGTATTATATCAGGGTAGAGGTGTATTATGAATACTAACAACCAATAATCTTGTGAGATCTTGGGATAGTGAGATTTGACAGATGACTAGCAAAGGTGTTTATTGGTGTATTCCATGCTCTCAGCATCCCTCTAAGTGTTCCACTTATTGTCACAGATGTTAAAGACCTGCAACAATCATGCAATTTCTTTATGGATTTTTTCTCTTTTAACATTAAGCTCTGCCCTGCTTCCACATGGCTGTTCAGCAGGGAAAAAAGCAGAGAGGGAATGAAGTAGAACCCCACAGATAGCTTCCTTCCCCCCCCCGTTTCCACCTCACAAGATATTGATATAGCAAAGGTGCTGCTGCATTTCACTTAAGAGGCCAATGAGTTGCTAAATGGTTATAATTACATCTGCTCCAGATCACGGACTTAGAAGCACACTTCTCACCCAAGCAGAGCAAGCCCCAGAGGAGCCACAGGAGCTGCAAGAACAGTGAGGTGACAATAGTGTACTACTGACTCTCCGCAGAAATGCTGGGCTAGTTCACAAACCTGGGGATGCAGCGCACGTGCAACCGGATAATTGACTGAAGGAGAACAGTCATAGTCCTGTCCCTCCCTTCTCACAAACCCTACCATGCCAAGAGCACCAAACACTGCAGAATTAAGCCATAAGGAAAGAAGAGGAGGGATGAAGATTTTCCATGGTTACCTTCCTGCTAAGACGACTTCCGTCTGTTGCATGCAAGATATTTTAAAGTCAGAGTCTTCACTCATGGAAAAATCTACTGCAATGATCAAGGTGCATGAATAGCACATGGTGGAGCAGAAATATGTACTCCATCTTAAAAATCAGTGTGGGTGAAAACTGAACACGTTGCTTTATTTTTTCTTTAATTTACAAACCCATTTATATTCATATTTTGTGCACAGTGAATATGGAGGTTTGCAGATTGAATCATGATGCAATCAAATCCTAAATTAAACTTCAGAATACGTATAGACAGGGTTTTTTTATTTGTATTTATTCAGAGTCCAAAAACTGAACAAATATAAATACTTGCGCAAGGTGACGAGACAGTCAATGACTATGAACTGAATTTTTCACATCCCCAAGATGTACATTACATTTAAAACTACATCAATAGATGGCTTAGAACAAATCAGCTGTGTGCCAGAAAATCAAAATGCATAAGGTGAGTGATTAAAAGCAAACAGTCATCAAATAAAACAATTTACTTGTTACTAATACCACCTAGCTCTGATATAGCATCTGTAGATTTCAAAGATGTACTAAGTATAATAGAAAGTCACTGGAATGAAGCTTCACAGCATCATCTCCTTCTGTAAAGACTTAACACCACAGTTTTGTTTCAATCCTTGTTTTCTATAAATGTCTCAGCAGAAGAACTATAGCCAATCACATTCTTCCTACTCATTTATATTTACTGGAAAAATACTTTACTACACGCTAGAAATTTGGGAGAATGGCTGTTTATCATTGGTCTATGCTAGTGGTTTTCAAATTGTCAAAATGTTCTTTCCTGCAATTGTAGAAAGAATTCAAACAGTTCCTGGTGTGACCATTTTTAAGGGGTGGAATGAACCATCAACTCCACTTCCTGCAGAAAGATGTTTGCAAAGCCAACTGTAACATTGCAACAGAATATTTTTACTCATGTAGTTGTGCAAACATCTTGTTAATTTCTCTGTCTTACTGGGTCATTTTTATTTTTAATAAAAACTAAATTAGGAGACACCGATCCCCAGTTCTAGAATTCCTAGACACCAAGACCAAACAAAAAAAAAAAACCAAAGCCAACAACCAGGCCTTACCATATAACAGAAATAGCCAGCCAAACCCTTAGAACAAGAGAGATCAGAAATATCTTGCTCTCCCCAGGCATTCCCACTTCCTCAAAAGCTCTGGTAAAAAGATGTGCTCTGTAGCATGCTGGTGATCATCAAATTTGGGCTATTTCAGACAAGGTTTTCTGGAGGTGGTTAGAGGGGAACAATGCAAAGGGCAGTTCTAACGCCAAGCCCCTCAACTCCAAAGAATACTCAAGTTCTAAAGCAAGCAGTCCCTCAAACTGAAGGGCTCTCAAGCACCTCCACAGATCTTGCCTCTGACAATATTGTATGGGGAGAGCAGTAGTTTTAAGCAGGAAGGTCAAAAAACATTTAGGCAATTTTCTCATAGCATTAAACAAGTGCCGAATTTTCTAAAGATATTTGGTGTATTGAGCATACAATTACAATTCTGCATTTGCTGAATTCCAAGTGAAAGGGAAAGAAAGACAAGTTCTTTCTGAAGCCATTGTCTCTAGGCTTGGTTATGCCTCTTAGAGAGGCCAGCCTCACTTTACGTGTGTCTATACACAGTGGTTCTGAGTATACTGTACAATACAAATATCACTGCTAATTATGTCAGAACTCTCAGACAAACAAGCTGTAGCAACTCAGATATATCATGTCAAACTTACCTCATCATCACTGTCTGAGGTCTCAGAGTCTGAAGAAGCTGTTGGTTTGCTAACAGGTGGCTCTTTCTCCTCGGAGTCACTGCGTTTCCGTTTGGCCAATGACAGGAGCTCCTAGTACAAAAAAAAGTTTACACTTATTTTAAAGCCAAATAACTGGATAATCCATGTTCTTATATTTGTACCCCTCTCTATAGTATCCAAGTACTTTCCAAAAGGCGGTAGGTCTCTCAGTCAGGGTCAATCATCAAATTTGTGTTTGTATTACATGAAAATAAAAACAGATCAATGCTGGAAAAAATTTTTTGAAGATGACATGCCATAAGTGCTACGTATTATTATTACTGTTTACTTTGTAAAGAGACAGCATCAAGACAGATTACCTGTTGGTGATTGTAACGCATTTTGCAATGTGGCGACACTTTAAGTGCATTGTTGCATGACCCAAAGGCCAACTGCCTCTAACTAGTCAGGTAATTCCTAAGAAATCTAATTTTTTGAAGTATGTTAGTAGTTATATACTTTTTAAATAAGTTATTTTAAAGTTACAAAGACATAAAGACATACACGATTCAGAATCTTAACTGGTCTATTCAATCTCTCTTCACATCCCATAACTACAATAAAATGACACACTAAATCTTTGGATAAACACATTGATATGGCAGGCCTCAGGCTGGAAGATTGTAAATTAGCAGAGTCACGCTCCCACAACTCAAAGTTCTAGTGAGCATTTTCAAAAACTGGAACTGAAAAAAATATACAAAAATGCATTATCAAGAGGAGTAAATCTATTAGCCAAAAGTGGATATCAAGTGTCAAGAATCAAGGGCTCCACTAGTAGGTCCAGGGGCAATAAAATAAATTCTTGCTACCTCCACTAGGTGGGGCTGGGATTCTATGTTCTGCAGCAGCCTTTGGCTAGTTTGTGTCTGATAAACCAGAAGTGTCAACTCTCCCTAGCTGTTAAAAGGAAGAGGAGCTTTTTGTCTTCTGTTTGCTGTAAGGATGTAAAGTGACACAACTTCTCTACCCTTACCTTATTTATGGGCTCTCCCACCATGAATAATTCCATTCCCTGGCATCATTCCTAGCTTTTTCAAAGAGCACAAGCAACGGCATGAAATTGACATGATTCTAGAGTTTAGCTGTTGCCTGCATGGTTCTGAACAGCAGATTCTCTAAAATCCTTCACTACTGCTGCTTCTGAACTTAAGCTATCAGCAGCAGCATCACCACATGGGAACTTCTGCAGTCTTGGAAAGATAACACTAAACTGGTTTACATTAGTTTCCACAAATGGAAGCTTGACTTCACAACCGTATGGGTTGGAACTTCATTTTTTAAATGCATGTAAATTCTGCAGAAATTGATGGCTTAGGTCCACACACTTGCTAGGGAAGCTTCCACTGGCAAATGGTTTTTTCAAACCTCTCTCTGAAACAAAGGCATGTAACATCAGAAGATTAAGGCCTGGTCTACACTAGGCGTTTATGTCGAATTTAGCGCCGTTACATCGAATTAACCTGCACCCGTCCACACCACGAACCTATTTAGTTCGACATAGAGCTCTCTTAAATTCGACTTCTGTACTCTTCCCCAACGAGAGGAGTAACGCTAAATTCGAAATGGCCATATCGAATTAGGCTAGGTGTGGATGGAAATCGACGCTAATAGCTCCGGGAGCTATCCCACAGTGCACCACTCTGTTGACGCTCTGGACAGCAGTCCGAGCTCGGATGCTCTGACCAGCCACACAGGAAAAGCCCCGGGAAAATTTGAATTCCCTTTCCTGTATGGGCAGTTTGAATCTCATTTCCTGTTTGGACATCGTGGCGAGCTCAGCAGCACTGGCAACGATGCAGAGCTCTCCAGCAGAGATGGCCGTGCAATCGCAGACTAGAAAGAGGGCCCCAGCATGGACTGATCGGGAAGTCTTGGATCTCATCGCTGTGTGGGGCGATGAGTCCGTGCTTTCCGAGCTGCGCTCCAAAAGATGGAATGCAAAGATATATGAGAAGATCTCTAAAGCCATGGCAGAGAGAGGATACAGCCGAGATGCAACGCAGTGCCGCGTGAAAATCAAGGAGCTGAGACAAGGCTACCAAAAAACCAAAGAGGCAAACGGACCCTCCGGATCCCAGCCCCACACATCCCGTTTCTACGAGACACTGCATTCCATCCTGGGTGCGGCCGCCACCACTACCCCACCTGTGACCGTGGACTCTGAGGATGGGATATTGTCCGCGGCCGGTTCCTCGGACATATTAGCGGACGGGGAAGATGAGGAAGGAGATGAGGAGGACGAGGCAGTCGACTGCGCTTGCACCGCTGATTTCCCCGACAGTCAGGAGCTCTTCATCACCCTTACCGAGATCCCCTACCAACCGTCCCCAGCCGTTACCCCGGACACAGAATCAGGGGAAGGATCAAGCAGTAAGTGCTTTAAACATCTAAACATTTATTTTTAACAGAACTGGAATATTTATAATATTAACAATGGGTTTTTCATGAA